AAAGTGTTGCTTAAATAGAAGAGCAAAACCTTTCTAATCCTTGTTTCAGACCCTCAGCAGAGACATTGGTGTAAAAAGCATCCCATGTACACCAGCCAAACCAGTTCAAAATGTCTGGCATCTGAGCCATCATGTGTGGAAAAACAATAAGACCTTTGACAACAAGGGATGAGATGAGAGCAGCATAAATAGTCATGAGAAAACACCTTCTTTTTCTCACGGTGAGAAAAGGTTTGCAAGTGTTTCTCAACAGTCCTGTGTTCAATTTGTGATACAACTTGATCAATCATTTTGCCAAAACTAAAAAAGAAAAAAGATTTTTTGTGCTTTAGAAAGGCGACTTTGCTTATCCCAAAAACAATGGTCTGCAACAATAGTGCAACACACGTTTCTCTAACTCTTCATTTTCCTTCGTATCTGGTACCGTGTTCAACCTATATTTGGATACGGGTATGGGGATATGATCCTCCAAGGGATTTCCAAGTACATAAAACCCTTAAAAAAATTGGAGACACCCGTGTTGGACATATTCATCTCCGAACTAGCACCCAAGTCAATTAATTTAGGCTGTAACTAAGAATAAACATTGCAAACAGACATTTGAGGCTACATATCCTTTCATACAAAACTGTAAAAGCTTACTTCACTGAGTTGTTGATAACATTATAGGGGTCTGATCCAGCAGCTACAAAAACCAAATGACTGCCCTCAAAGTTATACACAGCAGGATCTCCTGCAGACAATCACCAATCCTAAGAATTAATAAAAAGAACCGATTTCAGATAATGTAAAATCTAAGTTGATGCTTTTCTTACCACTTTCCAAGCATATCTCCATCTCATTTTGTTCATTCCCTTGAAGAACAGCCCTGAAATCACCTTCAAGCATTGGCATGAAAACTGCATATGCAGCTGATGTTAGGAAATAAACCGAGTACAAGTAATTTCCCTATAACCAGATTAGTGAGAATGCGAAATAAAAGCGGAAAAATAATACCCGAAAATTGATAACGGAGTTCAGCCAATTGTGCTTACGTCTCCGGGCTGCTGCAGATCTTTTACTAAGAGAGAAAATTTACAGGTGTTTACAAAACACTTACTACTCACAAGAAAGCTCTCTAGTATAGGAAGAAAGAAATATTTTTGGGATGATTTTGAAGCTAAATGAACTAGGGTATTTATAGTTGAAGCTTAGGACTAATCTTGTAAATACCCTAAAGTGTGCAATGGCTAAAAAAGTAATTAACCCATTTACAAATTTAATTAAAAATTGGGGCACCGAACGGTGCCCCCCTTTGTTGAATTTCTGCCCACCCAATTTGAAAGTTTTGGTTTCCAGGCGGTGCCCACCTTTGTTGACTTCCAACAATCTCCCACTTGAAGACTGATTTTAATCTGTCTTCACACCTTGATCAATGCAGCAGCTTTTCTAGTCCTGTTACTCTAGCATGCCAACTGAAGCTGAACACAACTTCAGTTTTTCCGTGGTCACCGTCTTTGTCAACATGTCTGCCGGATTTTGAGCTCCACTAATCTTTTCAAGTTTCAAAATCCCATCGTCCATAAGAGACCGAATAAAATGATATCTCAATTGTATATGCTTCATTCTGGAATGAAAAGACGGATTCTTTGCTAGATGGATAGCACTTTGACTGTCGCAATACAAAACATTGTTTTCTTGTTTCTTGCCTAACTCTTCCAAGAAACTTTGGAGCCAAACCATCTCCTTGCTGGCTTCCGTAACAGCGACATATTCTGCTTCAGTTGTGGAGAGAGCAACTATCTTCTGTAGTTGAGAAACCCAACTCACTGCAGTACCTCCTAGAGTATAGACATACCCTGTAGTGCTCCTTCTGATGTCAACATTTCCGGCTAAGTCAGCATCTACATAGCCTGTCAGTATCGTATCTCCATCTTTGAAACAAAGTGCTTTGTTTGTAGTACCCCGCAGATATCTGAGGATCTATTTGACAGCTTCCCAGTGTACCTTGCCTGGATTATTCATGTACCTGCTAACAGCTCCCACTGCATGAGCAATATCTGGTCTGGTACAAACCATGGCATACATCAGACTTCCAATTGTTGAGGCATACGGCACCTTCACCATGTGTGCACGTTCTTCCTCCGTCTTTGGTGATTGGTCTTTGGAGAGTCTGAAATGAACACCTAAAGGTGTACTTACTGGTTTAGCATCTTGCATGTTGAACCTGGAGAGTACTTTGTTGATGTACTCAGCCTGTGATAACATCAAAGTCCCCGACTTTATGTCTCTCTTGATCCTCATCCCAAGAATCTGCTTTGCAGCTCCCAGATCCTTCATAGCAAACTGCTTCGACAATTTTTGCTTCAAGTGTATAATCTCTTGCATGTTTGATCCTGCAACGAGCATGTCATCAACGTACAACAATAAAATAATGAAGCTATTGTCGAACCTCTTGATGTAGCAACAATGATCTGCTTGGCATCTGGTAAAACCATTGCTACTCATGAAACTATCAAACTTCTTGTACCACTGTCTAGGAGCTTGTTTTAAACCATACAAGCTCTTCTTCAACCTGCATACCAGGTTTTTCTTGCCTGCCTTTATGAAGCCTTCTGGCTGCCTCATATAGATTTCTTCCTCTAAATCACCATGAAGGAAAGCTGTCTTTACATCTAACTGCTCAAGATGTAAATTCTCTACAGCTACAATTTTCAACACCAGTCTGATTGTAGACAGTTTTACGACTGGAGAGAAAATTTCATTGTAGTCAATACCTTCTTTTTGCTGAAAGCCTTTGACAACCAATCTTGCTTTGTAGCGTTTTCTCCCATCGTGCTCTTCTTTGATCCTGTAAATCCATTTGTTATAGAGCGCTTTCTTGCCTGGTGGTAATTCAGTTAATTCCCACGTCTGATTTGACATAAGCGAGTCCATCTCATCTTTCATGGAAGACTCCCACTTGACTGAATCATCCACCTGCATCGCTTCATCATAGCACTCTGGTTCACCATTGTCAGTCAGCAACAAGTAGTGCAAAGAAGGCGAATACCGTTGGGTTGGTTTAGGAATTCTGGAGGAGCGTCTCAGTTCTGGTGTGCCTGGTTCTTTCTCTTGAACTGCTTCAGGATTGATCTGAACATCATTTCCAGAAATCTCCTCGAACTCAGCAAATTCCTTTGTTTCAGCTTCGGTATTACTTGATTCTACGGTTGACCTGTCTTTGCACATCACATTTTCATTGAAAATGACGTCTCTGCTTCTGATGATCTTTCAATTTTCGTAGTCCCAAAACCGGTAACCGAACTCATCACCACCGTAACCAACAAAGACGCATTTGTTGGACTTAGCATCAAGTTTACTTCTTTCAGCAGAGTTTATGTGTACATAAGAAATACAACCAAACACTCTTAAGTGTGAAAGGTTTATTTCTTTTTTACTCCAAGCTTTCTCTGGTATTCCGCCATCCAAAGGAACTGAGGGCCCATGGTTGATCAGGTAAGCTGCAGTGTTGATAGCTTCAGCCCATAGAGATTTGGGCAATCCGGTATGTATCCTCATGCTTCTGGAACGTTCATTCAGAGTTCTGTTCATGCGCTCTGCTACGCCATTATGCTGCGGTGTTATGGGAACTGTTGTCTCCATCTTGATCCCATTGTTTGCGCAGAAATCTCTGAATCTACTGTCTCTGTACTCTCCTCCATTGTCAGACCTCAACCACTTGACTTTCAAACCAGTCTCATTTTCCACTATGGCCTTCCATTTTCTGAAGGCATCAAAGACTTCTGATTTCTTCTTCAGAAAATAAACCCACACCTTCCTTGTTGAATCATCGATGAAGGTGACATAATATAGTGAGCCTGCAAGAGATGGAACTGGGGAGGTCCCCATACATCAGTATGAACCAATTCTAACCTTTCTTCCTTGGGAGTCTTGCCAATCTTTGTAAAGCTGAATTTCTTTTGTTTACCAAAGATGCAATCCTCGCATAGTCCGACATCTACATTCTTTAGATCCGACATCTTCCCTTTTGACAAAAGTATCTTCATCCCTTTCTCGCTCATATGGCCAAACCTTTGGTGCCATAGGTTTGATTTTCCATCAGCATCTGCTGTAGAAATGATATTCTCTAAGTTTGAGGTTACATAGAGAGTACCAGTCTTCTTTCCACGAGCAATGACGATTACTCCTTTGGTAATCTTCCATTCACAGCCTGAAAAGGTTGTACTATATCCTTCTCCATCAAGCTGTCCAATAGAAATCAGATTTCTTTTGAGGCCAGGAATATGTCTCACTCCTGTCAGCTTCCAGGTGGTCTGATTTGGCTGCTTTAGTCGGATGTCTCCTTTTCCGACGATCTTCAAGGTTTCATCATCAGCTATATGAACCTTCCCAAAATCACCACTGACATAGTTCTCCATGATTTCTCGGCATGGGGTGGAGTGGAAAGATGCCCCTGAATCCAAGATCCATGATTCAATCGGACTGTTGATGCTTAGAATCATGGCATCACCTGTCTCCTCTGTCATGTTAGCAGATTCCTGTGCGCCGGTATTTTTCTTCGGTGCTCGGCAATCTCTTTTAAAGTGACCCTTCTTGCCGCAATTATAACAAATAAAATCTTTATTTCATGTTCTTGATTTTCCCATTCTGGATTTCGATCTGCCACGATTTGAATTTCTTTCTGAAGTTCTCCCTCTGGACTCTGTGTGCAAGGCTGAGGAGGTTGATGCTTCACCCGATTCACTCCGTCGAATTTCTTCGCTCAATACCAGATCCCGAACATCGTCGAATTTCAATTTGCTGTTCCCCGATGAGCTGCTGACTGCTGTGACAGTAGCATTCCAACTGTCTGGCAGAGATGATAAGAGAATTAAAGCTCGAACTTCATCATCGAACTCAATTTCCACTGAACTCAACTGGGTTGTGATTGTGTTGAGTTCATTTAGGTGTTGTGCCACCGATGCCCCTTCCACCATCCGCAAATTAAATAATCGCCTCATCAAATGAACTTTGTTTGAGGCCGATGGCTTCTCATACATATTGGAGAGAGCAGCCATAAGACCCGCCGTGGTCTTTTCCTTTGCTATGTTGAAAGCAACATTACGGGATAACGTCAGTCGGATAACTCCGAGGGCTTGTCTTTCGAGAAGAGCCCAGTCTTCATTCTTCATGCCCTCTGGTTGTTTTCCTGAGAGGGGTTGATATAGATTTTTCTGGTACAGAAAATCTTCAATTTGCATCTTCCAAAATCCAAAGTCCGCACCATCGAACTTTTCAATTTTCACATTCCCTTCGTCTGCAGCCATCGCTCCCACTCGAATCTTGTTTCGTTTGGATCGTTTCTGACAATTTCTACGAACCGCCGTGTATTAGAACACCTCCGTCGACAAACTCGTATCGCCGTCCGAATTTCACTATTCACGAAATTCACTATTCACGTGAATCGTAACCCGAATAGTAACCTCGCAAAAATTGACAGAATTCACAACCAAAAAGCTCTGATACCAGTTGTTAGGAAATAAACCGAGTACAAGTAATTTCCTTATAACCAGATTAGTGAGAATGCGAAATAAAAGCGGAAAAATAATACCCGAAAATTGATAACGGAGTTCAACCAATTGTGCTTACGTCTCCGGGCTGCTGCAGATCTTTTACTAAGAGAGAAAATTTACAGGTGTTTACAAAACACTTACTACTCACAAGAAAGCTCTCTAGTATCGGAAGAAAGAAATGTTTTTGGGGATGATTTTGAAGCTAAATGAGCTAGGGTATTTATAGTTGAAGCTTAGGACTAATCTTGTAAATACCCTAAAGTGTGCAATGGCTACAAAAGTAATTAACCCATTTACAAATTTAATTAAAAATTGGGGCACCGAACGGTGCCCCCTTTGTTGAATTTCTGCCCACTCAATTTGAAAGTTTTAATTTCCAGGCGGTGCCCACCTTTGTTGACTTCCAACAGCTGAGTGTTTAGCATCATCTTTATCTCGATTGTCGAGAAGAGTGTCGTCGCATACTTCAACAAGTAAGAATTGGGTCTCAAAGGGGATATCTTTTCCAGATGTTCCCATCCACTGAGTCATCCACCAAAAATTGCGTCTGAAGACACACATGAACCTCAATTCCCTGCCAATGCGATCCAAAACTCATCTTATAGGATCAAAATCACTAAAACCGGAATACTTGATCACCTCCCTAGGACTTTTAGCTATGTTTCTACACTGCATTTATAGGTAGATTCCATGTCTAAAGAAAGGTAATAAACAAGAAACACATGCATTTGAGAGAACATTTTAATGAATTTGAAGAGGTATGAAGATGAACATACTGAAGCTTTCCTACGGGAAAGACTCTTCTGCTTCCCTTGTGATCTACATGGCCGGTCCAATGAGTTTTAATGCCCTGGGCGAGATAATAATTTTATGCCTATACTTATATCGTATAATAGACAAAACATAAATAATTTTTTAAAACAAAAATGTAATAGAACTTATAAGGGAGAATTAATTTTTTTGGATCTTCGTTGCCTACCCTAAGCCTTCCATGGATCGATCAAGTGTTTTGGGCTAATTGTTTTGGGCCAAATATATATATACACACTATAAGCACTAGAAAACTGATGTCCCTCTCAAACATGTTGCCCTGGACTAAGGCCCATCTGACACATGTATTGGGCTTGGTGATCTGATTCGATTCCGATGAAAGCCCCATAGACCGATGCATCCCGGGGGTCAGAGGCCGGTATTATCACTACATTTTCATGAACATCATGCAAGATGTAGTTTCCAAACACATTCAACTTTCCATCACTCACTGATATCCCTTCCCCCAGAATCATTTTTGCCTGTTGTAGCTGCAAAGTATGGAATCAAGAACAGAAGCCCCCAATGCCAAAAAGCAGCAAGACCCTCAAGTCAACACTCAACACAACTCAAAGGAAATGAAAACAAATACTGATACAACAACAGAACAAAGCAGAATAAAATAAATATGGAATGGCCAAATAAAGCACGTGTATATATTTTTATTTTGTCAGAACAATAATTGCCTAAAAGCAAAGCAAACACATTCTATACACATAATGATGCTGATTAATATATCAAGAAACTGCCCCCTGGACTAACTCAGCCATTTACACAAGCAGCATGTACTCTTGTTGCAGTTTATGTTACTTGGATTCTTCTTTTTTTCTTAAACAAGGACTCAATAATGTTTAGTGAAACTGATACATGTATTGAATTTTTATACTCACAGTACACACTCAAATTGAAATCATTCATACGTTCTGATAGTTTTCTTAGATGTGGAAGAATTGAGGCCTTAATAAATTGAGAATATATGGAAGAAAAAAGGACTAGAACTTTTTTTTTGGAAGGTGACAAAAACATAAAATTATTGCACGTGAACGTAGACATAGACGGTTGTATAACCAGCTTCAGCCAACTAAAACACAATAAAGATTAGATTACTTTTACACCAAAAAGAAGCTGCAAGATGGCATACAATGGCGGATCCACAGCATCTCGAGAGAGTGAACACTGATCGATTTTTTTTAATTACCTATTTTACTGATGATACTCACCCGAAATCTTATTTGTGCTCATTTCATTAAAATTTTTTGTATTATTAACATATGTGTACATTCTCTTAAAATAATATTTGGACAGCCACTGGTGACATATATCCATGCCTGTGATACTCAAATTAGATTATCTTACATCTCATACACATGTATGGTATGTGTTGGACATGAGCATCGGACACAAAGAATGTGACAAAATATAACAATTATATATTTTTTTTCATTTTGAACTTCAAAATCAACAATTCGAATAATTCAAAATGACCTAAAAAATCCGAGTCTCAAACCTAGATAACATGAATATACAAAAATACAAAAATTAGCACGTCTACTAGGATATGAATGCAATATAACTGTAAAAACTTAGACAAATTATTGGGTGTCACCATGAATGATTGCTTGATGCAGGCAATGCAGCAGAGTTTCAATTATATTGGAAGCTTCCCGGTGGAGATGATCCAGTTGGTCTGAAAAGTTCTTTTTAAAACCCAATCTTTATCATGTTTTTACCGATGAAGAATCTCAAAACCCAAATATTGAATTATGGATTTGATTTCAATTCAAATAGATTCGATTTTGAATGAATCTTGGATGCCTTTTTTTTAACGTAGAGGAGGAATAAGTCATTACATCAACAATGACTATTCGGTAATGAGGAGAATCGTAAAGATCTCTACGAAAAACATTATGAAGGTAATCCAGTACATCGTCATAAACAGATAAGTAATATGTAGAGAAGAAGCGTCTTTGATAAGTCTATAAACTACTTCATTGGCTTCATGTCAGATGAGAATAATATCAGGCAATCAAGCTTTGTTAATAACTGCATTGGTGGCTCGGACGAGGGAGTATAGACTATCTGCAGGATTAAAAGATAGGAGCTTATGAACATCTGAACTATCGATTTAGTGCTTCAAAATGGTGACATGGTTGTTGAGAGAAGCGTTCCTTATCCTGTTATCCAGTTATCAAACCGAGTGCATGAATCTATTTGACAATGACTATATATAGGCGCTTTTAAATAAGATTAAATTGCTTTGGCTACCTCTGGGTCAATTCCAGTTAATCAATTTGGACAATGATTATTACCTAGTCTGTTTCGAGTTAGACAATGACTATTCTAGAGTTCTTACTGAAGGACCAAGGGTGGTTTTTGGGAGCTACTTGACGGTTCAACCTTGGAGTCAAAATTTCTTTATTTCGGATAACCATCCCTCGGAGGTGGTAGTTTGGTTCGACTTCCTAATCTCCCCTATAGATATTACACAAAGTCTCTCTTTCGATTGATTTTCTCTGAGATCGGAAAGGTGATCAATGTAGATTATAATACGACTGCCCGCGAACAAGGTAAGTTTGCTCGACTTGCGGTAGCAGTAGACCTTAATAAACTGTTGCTACCTTGTATTGGCATTGATGATTTTGTGCAGCAGCTGGAATACGAGGGCTTGCAGCTTATTTTCTTTAAATGTAATGTCTATAGACACTCACGAGATATGTGTGGAAGTACTTTGGAGGTTACTGTCAGTCCTGAACAACAACCTGAGGTAATCATGGAGGATAATACCACGAAGAGTGAGGACCTTTATAGACCGTGGATAATGCAGCAAGTAAAAAGAGAGTTAAAGCTCAATCTTTAAGGACAAAATTTGATATTTTGAATTTAATTACTGAGGGGGGGGGGGGGAGAGAACATGAACCCAAATATAGTTAATGGTTCAGCTTTATCCTCTATTGTAAAACCCCATACTCGTAAGAATAAGGGTAAAAGAATTGTACTTTCAGAAAACTCAGAGGACCCCCCAAAGAATGCTTTATAGATTCTAAACCAAAATGAATATTTGAGAATAATAAATCAGATGGGTGGTTCCACAACACATGAGAACTCTTTCAGCATTGAACCTTTGGTTGAAGGTCAAGTACCTCGGGTTACTGTTCAGATTCCAAAAAATCAAAGGTGGTTGTTGTTGGTAAATTAAACGATTAATTTCTCTATAACCAGATTAGTGAGAATGCGAAATAAAAGCGGAATAATAATACCCGAAATTGATAATGGAGTTCGGCCAATTATGCATACGTCTTCAGACTGCTGCAGAACTTTTACTAAAAGGAGAAAATTTACAAGTGTTTACAAAAACACTTACAACCTAATTACACCCTGAAAATTGCTCTCAAGAAAACTGTCTAATTTCTCTAGTATTGAGAGAGAGCTAAAATGATTTGAAATGATTTTGAAGCTAAATGGGTTAGGGTATTTATAGTTGAAGCTTAAGGACTAATCTTGTAAATATCCTAAAGTATAGGGACTAAATTTGGTAATTTCCCCTTACCAAATTTTCAACAAAAACTGCCACTTTTGACTTCACCATTCGGTTCATTAATGCACCGAAAACATCTTGGACTTTCAACAATCTCTCACTTGAAGACTGATTTTAATTTGTCTTCACACCTCGATCAATGCAGCAACATTTCTGGTCTTGTTACTCTAGCATGCCAACTGAAGCTGAACACAACTTCAGTTTGTCCGTAGTCATCTTCTTTGTTAACATGTTTGCCGGATTTTGAGCTCCATTAATATTTTCAAGTTTCAAAATCTCATCTTCCAGAAGAGACCGGATAAAATGATATCGCAATTGTATGTGCTTCATCCTGGAATGAAAA